TGCGCAGCTCAGGGTCAATCCCGCAAAAGCGCTGGGCTGGAACCAGTCACCAGCACAAGAGGGGATGGGCAGGAACAGGACCTGCCTGGTCATCACACACTATTTCTTTATGAAGTTAGCCTTGTAGTTAAAAAACTTGATGCACTCCCCCTGTTAGCCAGTTTACCAGAACAATGGGAAAAATGGCATCTTTGACATGATCACGGTTTCAGTATCTGCCCAGACCTCTTTGATTTCCAGACATACAATTGAACACTGCATCTAATATACTGTAAGTTAGTGTATCTCAGGCCATAATTCAAGTTAATCAGGCCCAGAACAGTTAAGCAAGCCTGAGCAATACTTTATCTCAATAAAAAGGAGCTACTTCATAACTGCAGTATGAAATCCACACTGTAGTGAAATTTAGCTAGATACAACCATCCTGCTTCCATCTGCACAAGCGATATTAAATGCTCTTTTAACTGTCAAATATTTTGGAAACCTGTCAGTGCACACTGCTGCATGCCAGGTTTGATCTGGGCAGACACAAGGGGAAAGCTTTTGACTGTCACCCGGCACAGCACAGAAGTCAGGCACCACATTTCCAAATTTCTGTGCAGAACCCTTGAACCATTTGTTCGCTGCTTTTCTGAATGCTTAGATAGAAATTCATCTCAGCACGTAACAAGTGTCAGAGTACCAGGCATCTCCTTCCCCTGCAGCACAAGCGCGCTTTTTACCGCTGGAAGGATCAGCCAGGGAATTACCGCAATTTGCTTTCTCAGCCGCTCACTTAGCAAAGATTACAGCGTGCTCCACCCAGACGCCACACAAATTAGGTCACATAGCAGACCATACTCCTGCCAATTCCTGCCCTATTCATCGGGGACGAGGGCAGGAAGCATATGGAGGCCTCCAGTTAAGGGTCAGAACATTTCAGTGAAAACATAAAAGTGAACCAGCGGCAGATTATTCACCGGCCAGAGGGAACATGGTTTCTCCATACGGCAGAAGTGAGTCACAGGCACCACTCAGTCCGACACAATGCAGAGGGGCACAGCCTGCATCCAGCAGCAAAAAACTCCCCTGCAATTTACCACAGGGACTGTACTACAAGACAACAGAGAAATATTTTCCACTTTGTCAGCATGCATGTGCATTTAATAATTTAACATACATAGGAAGAGTTTAAAAAAAAAAGTCCTTCAGAACCTGAAAAACAGTTCACGTGAAGACTCAAAAGGCAACTATGTAATACAATGTAATTTCTGTTCTTATGCATTTCATCTACAGCTATGCTGTATTTCAGAACACATCCTTCATCACCTGCTGCCAAAAAGGAAATACACCATTTTTATGTGTTTAAAAGCCAGAGTTGTTTCAAATCAAACAGATTTGAGGTCCAGCACAGCTCTACTAAGAAAACTAACCAATCCAGGGCTTCACAACTACTTACAGTAACATGAACAATACAGTAAATATTATTTTTACTATTGTAACAGCTTGTGGTCTTATGATTAAATAATTTCAAGCTGCTATCAGTGCATACATCTTGTGGGAACACAGAAAAATTCCTTCCCACCTGAAAGGAAACTTTTCATTTGTAGGCAAGCGCTTCTGGGATTTCCAAAGGGGGCCATAGGAGCAAGAAGGGAGACCCAAATGGGAAGAGAAGCTAAACATGGGGTTTCAAAACATACGTTGTCAAACTATTGGTTTGTAAAATGCCTCAGTCATGTCACTGCCATTATTTCCTACTGCTACAAAAAAAACCCACCACTCCTTTTAATCACCGGGGTGGGGGCTGCACAACAATTAGCTCACACAATAAAATGTAAATTGATCTCTTTTGCTTCTGTTGACAATTGTATGAAAAAAATAACATAATATGCAGTGGCATATTGCTAAGATGCTACATAGATTATTCAATTACTGCAGAGTGCTTTATTGGCTTCAAGAGTTGACATTTTATAGACACAGGGCCACAGGGCAACCCCTTTCAGAAGGTTTCACAGAACTGGCATCTTCTAATTCCTTAATACAGGGTAAGTAGCCTCCCTCGAACGGCAGCGTGACATCCATCTGGGTAATGAGGCAATTGAAGTAGAAAAAAAAAAAAATTAAAAAATAATCACATCAAATGCTGCTACACTGGTAGAGTATGTGTATACGTAAATATAAATACAAAGTAGCCCAATAGTTTTCCTGGAACAGTTTCAGAAGTTTTCCTGGAAGAATATAAATTCTGTCCCATGACATGGAACAGCAACGAAGGGAGCCCATTTGTTTGAACAGGTGAAGAAAGTATGAGATCCCTTCTTTTTTTCCCTCCCAGACGAAGATCCAGCTTTGGCTCCCGTCAGGCACCACGCAGCCTACCAGTGCCACCACACTCCCAGCACCTCTTACTGACTTGAGAGCTTAAAAGGTTATTAAAAGAGATTAGACATTTATAAGAAAGGACATCCCGCTAGACGAGCTAAATTATTATTTAGTATGTTTTAGGCCATAAATCAATCTCTGACTAAACATGCTCATGTTGTTTAGGCTTCAGAGGACAGAAGAGTCTTACCCATTTTGGCTTCACCTAAACTAATTCATTTACATTCACACACTTTATCAGATACGAGCTTCAATCTCCCTTCCTCCAGCACCCACCAATTTTCACAAGAAGCAGCCAACCAACAAAACCAAAGCTGTACCTCTGCCAACACTGCAGCATTTGCAGGTGAATGAATCACCCCTAAACCTTCTAGCCAGAGAAGCACACCAGGTGCTTCCTAAACTTCTCAAAAGCCTCCCTGTTATTTACATTCTGGATTTGTGTGAAAAGCGAAGGACATGAAGAAGAAACAATTACACACACATACTCATCCCAACTTTTCCACCCATTTTTTCCTGCTTGAATATTTCCAGTACTGAATCACGAAAAATTGTCCTCTCAAACAGAGAAAGGCTTTCCCCTCCCTCAGATTTAATTTTTTACCTTCAGTTTTTCTTTCGTTTTCCCTTCCATGCCTGTCACCTTCTACCTTTTTTCAGATTTTTTGCTCTGAGAGAGAGTGAGCAGATGACAGTGAATTTGAGACTGTCACTCTCCTGGAAAGCAAATCTACAGTCCTACACTTTATGAAGAGTTAGGAACATTATAACGCAAGGAATTTCCTGAAAAAATCCTGCTGCTTGATAAAGAAAAGTTATAATTGCAATATACCAGCCATGATATAGGTGCTTTTAAAAACAGAGGGCTGTCAGCTCATAGGGAGTTAAGTAAGTGTCAAGAAACAGTCACTAAGCACTCTCTGCTCAATCATATAAAGCACCTGAGCAACCAAGTAGCTGCTACTCAACTAGGAGATTTACCTTAGCCTAGCCCCAGTTAGGGCAGACACCATCAAAGAAATCATCCACAGACACACAGACATCACCAAATATTATCTAACACACACTGGAACTTACACATTAAAAACACCTGAAGGACTGAGACAGAAAACCTCAGAGATTGACCCCCCTATTATCCCATGGATGAACATTTTAGAGGTTTCACAACTGCAGTGTTCACCAGTTAATTACATGGCTGGTTGTAACACTTGCCCTCAGTTTATGCTCTTCTAAAAATACAATGATAAAAGAAGAAAGAAAAAAAATCTGAGAAATAGTCCTAAAAAACCCACACAGATACACAGAGAGCCAGAACAAACATTTTCCCTGAACAATGGCCCAGGTTAAAAACCAAGCAAACTGATTTTCTCCTACTTCTAACTTTCCAAGAGTGACCAACTGCAGCTGTACCTCATTAGGAGGTTGAATACATGCAGATTTTGAAGAACACCAGATCTCCCCGACCTGTAATTTAGTGAGCTTTCCAGAGTCAGTCAAAAGCAACTCCACTCACATTACTGAGTTTTCTTGATATTTTTGTCAGTTTTAACAGAGTTCAGACTGGGCTATAAAGGAAAAGTTTCTAATCTCAACTACACTGGCGTATATCCAAATCCACCTCATTGTTCTAGAAGCAAACATACATGAGACCAAAGACCCAGCCCATCATTTTATTCTAAAGTTAGCCATTACGCTGCTACGTCTTAAGAGGATTTTAATTTCTCTTTCTAAAAACCCATATTCAGACTCCAGCTTTGTACCAAAAAAACCCACAACAAAAGTCAAGTCAAATGGAACAAATTCTCTGTTGATCAGCAGGTTCTGCACCCATGAAGTTCTGACACCAATTCACAAAATATCAACCCCCATCTCTCAATTACTGTATCTAAACAGCATATTCACAGGTATTAGGAAACCTCAAATTGCCTTTACCATGCCAATCTAGCTTATTTGGCCCTGGTCACAAAACAGCAGACTAGTCGATCCATGAAATTGCAATTGGGATGGGTGGGAAAAGATGGCAGAAAGAAAAGGAAAGAGAAACATCCCCAATTTCTTCTCCTCCAAAGCAACCCCTCCCCAAAAAATATTCTTTCCGAGGACCTCCCTGGAGAATACCAGCAAAATGGAAAAAAAAAAAAGTGTGAAGGGTGAACGCACTGTTTTAAGTATGTACATTCAAAAGTCCCAGAAGACACAGTAAGCAGAACTGCAGAGAATAAAACCACAATTAAACACTGAAATCACCATAATTTAATCTGTAGTTTAAGAAAATTGGGGGCATTAAGACTTTCAATCAGACAGAACAGCAATAAAACTTACACCATGAAAAAGTTAACATGTTGTAGGTGAAAGGGAAGCCCACGACACAAGCATTACCAAGAGGATCTTGCGGCTGCAGGTGTGAGGCAGCCAGGGCTCGCACAGCGCTTGCAATGGAGCGGCACCACAGAAAACAGCCTTTCCCTGGACTGTTTCCCACCATGCCTTCCACAACCTGCTCCCGTTAGAGTCAGCAAACTTGAACAAAGTTAAGAAAAGCAGCTTCCAGCAGGTGTAGAAAATAAAACTAGACCCACATGGCTGGATCCTTTTATCCACCACAGCCTTGAAAACATAGGTAAGCATGCACTCACCCAGCGGAGGGTAACACGTCTGCCTGTCAGTATCCCGAGGCGCAGCAACCTTGTACTTTTTCCACGCAACTTTTTTGGCTGTTTGGACGCTCATGATCAAGCTCACTCTTTGAAAAACAGGAAAGTGAAGATGCAGAGGAAGTACACGCTAGTACCCGCGCAAGAACTGCATGCCGGGATTTGAGGGGGAGGGAAGCACTGGTTTTCCTCAGAGGGTTCGACACATTCAGCCACACAGTGACTGACAAAACCATTCAGGAAACAAACTTTTTAAAAGGCTGCACGTAAACAAGTAACAGACTTCAAGCTAATTGACATTTTTTTCCTCTTTAAAAACAGATGAATACGCTGCTTTGCTACTCCTTATGAAAACAGAAGGACAATCCAGCTTTCAAAGCACCGGCAAGTTAAAATTCTACGTACAGAAAACAGGAAAGAAGGTGGCAATTTTCCTTTTCTGTTCAAATCAACCTCTCTGGTCAAATACCATACTCATTTTAAAAATCCTAAATATTTTTAGCATTTACTTTGCAAAAAGCTTGCAGTATTACCATAACACTTTTTCCACACATTCAACAGAACATGAAACCAGAACAACTCTGCAAGGTGAGCATCCACATCTTTTAATGGCCTTTCAAAAGAGCACAAGAAAATTTTAACACGAGATTTCAGCTTATAAAAGAAGTTCTACAAATAAACCTTCATGTCAAAAATTACAAACTCTGATTAGGCACACCATTTCCACTGTGCAGTAATTCCAAACAAGACAGACCACAGCCCAGTAAAATAGAAGGTTAATAATGCAAGGCTATGATACCATCAGAGTTATTTTACAAATGGGCCTTTAAACTGTGTTTACCACCAATACAGAAGGCAAATCCAATCCCTCAATCTTCAACATACTGTTGCCAACTTTATAATGAAATTGAGAGGACTCCGAATTCTGTAGTTAGGAAAGACATGTGATTCCAGATTATACACTTTAGCATATTCAACTGTACAGAATTCCAAAAATCACAAAAAAGTAATGCAAGAGGAGATTAACTATAACGCAGAAGTACAGGCACTATGACCAGAGAGGAGCTGTACACAGGAGAACTGGTTTCAAAAGCAGAAAGACACATGCTATTCGATTTGTCTGTCTCGTTGTATTATGCTATCAGACAACTGTTCTAAATACAGCTCTCATCTCTTCATTAATACTAAGTTGGGACAGTTTACTGTGTCACATAGCAGACAGACACTATTGGGGAGGGAAATCAAGATAAGATTTTTCTTTAAATTTTATTGGGGGCAGGAGTTGGTCTTACTTTGTTTTATGGGTTGGGTTTTTTTTCCAATTTTAAGAATTCCCCGAAGTTGAAACCTGAAAGATACACACAAAAGGAGTTTTGTTTCCATGAATAAAGACAACCATACATTCAGGGGGCTAAATCAGACATTTGTACCCAAACATTTCTGTGGACCATGCAAACAAGAGAGACATGGAAAGGTAATAAAGTTTTAAAGCTAGGATTCCTATTTTAGAAAAAAACAACAATGATGTATTTTGCCATGGCAAATACAAATATAAACCTTACTGTGCAAAGCACTTCACAAGCACAAAACAAAAAGGCACTGCCAACTCTATCAAGCATATGATGACAATTAGCAGGCAGCCAGGCACGTATGCCAGAAGTCTTACCAACAGCACCTGAACTCCCTTTTTTCAGGTCTTGACAAGACTGGTCTGCATTCCCTAAGAGCACTCTCCTGTTGATCCAATACCTCATCTCACCTTGGTCCCTGCCACTCCAAGATAAGGCCCATGCACAAATGAATTAAGACTCTCTCCATCAGACGCTTGCCAAGACTGAATGATACGTACAAGTTTCAGGAGTGAGCTAGTTTGTTACACCGCTTCTGGGTTTCCGCCTCCTCAATGAAGAAAGGGTGTGCGGTCAGTGACAGCAGCTAGAGAAACATCAGCCTCTCTGAACCTCCATCAGTCTCTTGAACTTCAACAGGAAGATATTAGAGGGGCTGAGGGTAACCATTGATTCACCGGAGAGCTTCCAGAGAACCTCAGCTCACAAGCTCTGCCTGCCATCAGCAACTACATCATGTACATTAGAGAAACTGCTTTTATCTAACAGAAGTTTTACTTTGAAAATCCAACATTTCAATAGGAATATACACTGAGAATATTTAACTTAATAAAGGGATTTTGTTTATTTTTAATTTAGACATAGTGCATCTCTTGCCTAAACAGAGATAGAATTAACAACATTAATTAGTTTCATGTCAGAACCTATCTGCAAAGAAGTTAGCTTTAGGACGGCAGGAATAATTTTTTTTAAGCTAAATTTTAAAAAGTGAACCTATGGCCTCTGCCAAAATCTGAAGCAGTCAGTGTGAAATCCATGCATTAACTACAAGAGCTGATAAGCAAAGAGAGAAATGGAAGCTTTGGGGGAAAGTAATCTTCGAAGAAGGCAAAAGAGGATTTTGTTGCTTTTTTAAACAAACTCAGGAGTTCAACACACTAGCACGCTCTCTACCCATAAACCACTTCATTCATTAGGAGAAGATGGTCTTGCTTCTACTACTACTGAATTCAACAGGCCATTTATTTAGCAGCTCTGACTGGAGTTATGTTCTCTTTTATTCACCCTGGTGTTGACAGCAGTAATCAAATTTTGTACATACCACTGGCTCTATTATAGCTCAACAGCAGCTGGCTGGCTGCCTAGTCTTCTTATCATCATGTAAGATAAAAAAGACCAGCCAAACAGACCAGCTGAAATTACAGTGAGAAGACAGAAGTAGAGTGAAGCCTAAGCAGAAGTCTAGTAAGCAGGTATCATGTGGTTTTATGCTTGCCCATTACAAAGCATGGAGAAGAACAAGGCTAGGCTCAACACATGACAAGCTTACTTTAACAGTTTTCAGAAGGGCTGGAGCTTAGATGGCAACTCAGTCCTTGTACAAGAGAAGATCTGAATGCCACACTTCATACATGAAACACTACCCCCATCAATAGCTCAGTCACGCAGCAGGGAACGGGAAACTGAAAAAGCGTAGAGGTACGGGGAAAAAGGGAAAAAGGGGGAAGGCGGGGAAGAGAACTGTATCCATTCATTTGAAGGTGAGCTCATAAATACTTAAGATCACTTCTCTATCGCAGCCCCAGCACATACGAAGTCAGCACTGGGTTCAAAGTAAAATTAAAGTTCACAGAGGCAAACAACAATGGGAGCAGAGGGCAACATCCTTTAATTATAAAAATCCCCTGTATGCAAGGCAGTCTAGAATGAGATTGGTTTCCATTTCTTCTTTGCCTTCTGGGAGCCTTCAAAGAGCCTTGAATGCCTTGACTCTGAGAAGAGGAAACCGGCTTCTTTTTCACGGTCTCCCTCCTTCTAGCTTTGTTCCAACTAGGCCCTGGTTAACCCTGCTCTGAACTTCCACTCTTCCAGACAAGTCTGCAGAGAAAGGCTTGTTTTATGGAGGAGGAAAAAAACCAACCTAGAGGATTTCTTATGGGATCAGAACAAGGAGATCTTTCCTTCTCCATCACGCACAAGCCAAGAGCCTTCTCCTTCCTAGAGGAGGAGCACACTCTTCTGCAGGATTCCTGCATTACCTCTCTAGCCCTATCCTTTGTAACACTGTTATAATGAGCTTCTAGTTAAGCGTTTCTCATGCTGTGGGACATTAACACCCCATAATTTTGTTCAGGATGTTTTATTTCACCACAACAACATGACAGGACTTTTTTTCGCTGGCCTGACAAACGTGTTTTGAATTAGCAGACCACACAACGCTTGCTTGAGCAAGCAAATGAGCGCTTAGAGGGCAATGCTAAGGAGAAGGATGCTGAAAAGGCAACGACAGAAACTTAAACAGAAAGTAATGTTTCAAGTACCTGTTGCATTTTGATGGAAACTGGTCATTAGTTTAACCCCTACTTCCAGGAAACCCACAGCAACTTCAGATGGATAACAAAGAGGTTTTAGCGTTTCTATTGAAACCTCCTTTCATACAGCAGGTTCATGTCAGCATGAAGCTTTCTCCTGAAAAGGGAGTTAGCAGTACAGTAACTGCCCTCACTACTGAGGAAGAGGAACATAGTTTTCAGTATGGCAGCTGTTGGAGTGCTGCAATACAGATAACACACAGATACTCTCTCAGTGCTCACACAAGCAGCTCCAACACCAAACCCTTCCAGCACGCCACGCTTCAGCCATTCTGCACCTGACACACGTGGTTCTTGTAAAACAGCATGTCTGTGGCTGCTGTAAATAACCAGCTGACTCACCCTGCAGAAGAAATAACAGCAGCAACTGCAGATAACAAATTGTGACACCTTTCAAGAATCTCCACAATTTTAGTTACTCTTTTTCAAAGTTCCTCTTTTATTTTTGGGGCGGGGGGGATTTCCCTTTTTCTCTTTTATAGATACTGAAGGGAATATTTTGAATGTCAATACTGAGAAAACCTGTGGAGCATATTATTATTCCAAAAGTGTTGTTTACGTTATAGTTGTACCTGTGAAACCCAACCACGACAACACAACCAGCACCTCCCTTTCACAAAACATTCTGAGCCACCTCTTTCCAGCAGCCCAGAGGAGTGCGAGCAGGTCCACAGGAGATGTATTTTGCTTCTCATTTAAGATGCTGAGCACACCTTCTGAAACAAGGTTCCTGCCCCTTCATGGACACCTTTATGAAACAAAACCCGATCAATCTATGACAGATGCACAGCCTAACGCTTGTGTGCTTGTATGCTGGGGCGTAACATGTATTTCACTGGGAGCCCTGCGCTAAGGCCCGAGTGGCAGCATGCAGGCCCAAGCACAGGAGAGGGACTGTCACTTCTGCCACCCCGGCCCCTCCAAGCAGCCATCCTGGTGGCTTACAGTTCTCAATACCACTTGCCCTGCTGCAGTGGAACAGACTGGGGAACCTGGGCTCAGCCCGGCAGCCAAGTGGCTGTGAGAGCTGCTGGTGGGCAACTCCACCCAGGATGGAGCATTGCCCTCAGCACACACTGCAGCATCGGGAATTGCTGCAGGAAAAGACACTGCCTCCAAAACACATCTCTCTCCCCTGCCCTCCACATG